TTTACAGTATAAGGACAGTGATCATTAAGTAAGAAGGCCTGTCTGGTACACTGAGTCAGGTTTGGTACCTCTGTTCATTTATCATAGTCATAAAATAACATCTTTGGGAAATTCTGTTTCTGTCTCTTTGAAGACTGGACAGGTAAGAACTGCCATTTTACAGTGAAAAAGGTTACAGAAAGAATTGCTTTATTGTGACATTAAAAGACATTTATTAGAACAAGGAACCAAAATTTTACATAATTTTACTACAGAGAATGAATGACCTCGGTCTATTTTTCGTAAACGTTGTGGAACTTAAGTTTACCTGAGAGGAAATCAATCTAATATTAAAATTAATGTAGAAGGAGGGGAAATCCAGTACTAAACAATGGCAGAGATAAAGTACAGTATAGGATCATAGGAAAGTAAGACTGAAAAGGACCTCTCAAGGTCATCTAGTTTAGCCCCCTGTTTATGGTAGGATCATAGCCCCCTGACTAATCCATCCCAACCAAGTGTTTGCCTCACCTGCTTTTGAAAATTTCTAGGAATGGCGATTCCTCAATTTCCCCATGTAGCCAGTTCCAATTCCTGCCCACCCCATAGTCAAAGTCCCTCCCAATCTCCAGCCTAAATTTCTCCTGCTGCAGCTTGAGGCCATTGCTCCCAGTCCTGATCCCTACAGTTACTGACAAAAGCCCATGTCATTCATTTCTTCGGGAATTTGAAGACTATTATCAAGCCCCGCTCTGTCTTTTCTTTTCCACATAAACAACTCTAGTTTGTTCAGCCTTTCCTCATAAGTCTAGTCTCCTAGGCCCCTAATCATTTTTGTTACCCTGTGCTGGACTCTTTCCAAACTGCCCATGTCCTTCTCGAAGTGCGGGGCCCAGAACTGGACACGCGAGAGCTCTACTCATCAGAACTGAATAGAGTGGAAGAGTCGCTTCCCTTTAATTTGCAAGTGATAGTTCTGTTAACACAACCCAGGATACCATTGGCTTTTTTTTTGCAACAAGAGCACACTGTTGGCTTTTTTCCGCTTATGGTCCACGATACTTCCTGGGTCCTTCTCTGCAGTTTTGCAGCCTAGCCAGTCATTCCCCAGTCTCTGTTCTTAAAGATGGGCATTATATTTGTCCTCTTTCAGTCATATGGGACCTCATGCAACCTCCACAAGTTCTTAAAAAGCATAACCAATGTCTCTGAAATTACCTCATCCAATTCTTTTGGTACCCTTCAGTGCATCCCATCTGGCCCTGCTGACTTGAAAGCATCTAGCTTCTCTAAGTAATTAATAATCTGTGCTATCATTACGCTAGGATGTTTGTCTCCTTCCCTATCTCTGCGTCCTATAGCACACATTATCTGGTAGCTGGCCCTTTTTGTGAAAACTGAAGTAAAACGGCATTAAATAAAATTGCTAAGGATCCTTGAGGAAACAGTGGGTTGGCTATTAATTGGGGAATAGCTTCAAGCTTAGGTCCAACTGATATGGGAAAGTTTACCTTTCTTGGAGCTGAGACTAGAAGCTAAATCTCTTAAAGATGGTGAACAAGAGAAGGAAGTAAAAGCTTCCCAGACGTCGAAAAAAAGATAGGGGCCATGGAAGCACCTAGGTGGCCTGCTTCTCCCATCCTAGAAAAATGAGCGGAAAGTAGCTTATAAAAGTGAGCAAGGAAAGGTTATGGGGTGTGGTAATAGCCATTATTTTAACCCTTAATATTCAGAATACATATCTTTGAATGAATAAATAATGCTTTGTTCTTAGAGGCTGTCTCAGTGCATCTACACATACAATTAATATGAAGCAGTAAACCGGGGCTTTTTACTCTGGAGTTTATTGCTCCTGGGCATGTCATTTGAACGTGCACCCAGAAGAGCATCACGTTGAGCTGGGTCACAGCAGCCCCGGCTGGCAGGGAGCCTGGGAAGGAGTCAGCCTGCCAGCCAGGGGCTACTCTCCCCCCATTCCCCCTCCCGGCTAAATGTGTTGTGGAGCGTCTGGCTGAGGCACGAGGGTGCTTCAGTGTGGGGCTAAGCAGCAGGCAGCCCTTGCACTGAAGCACCCTTGTGCCCCAGCCGCAGCATCTACGCATGTGCTGCTGTGAAGTTTTTTTACTCCACAGCAGGGTAGTACTTGTATTTATAAGTACTGTCCTGCTGCAGAGTAAATTAGTTTACACCAGCCTAGCAGGGGTGCATGTATAGATGCGGAAACTTTTACTGCATAGCTAATTAATCTACTGCACAGTAAACATGTCGTACAGATGCGCTGTCTTAGAATCACTTTAAGCAGCTCACCAGGCACAATTCCCTGGAGGTTAAGGGCTTCCAGAAGTAATGAGTATTTAGGCCTGTTCATTAATATAGTTGGTTAATAGGAAGGATGCAACTGAGAAATCTGTTCTGAGTGCTTGAACCACATAGTTCCACCTGGAGGAGGTGGGGTCCCCAAATGGGTGACTACAATGGGTCTGGAATGCATCTCTTTTTAGGAGTTATAGTTACTCATCCTCCTCCTGCCCAACTGCAGAACCCTTCCCTACTTTCTTCTTGCTACTATAGTTTTTGAGTAATAATGTATATATGTACACAGTCACAAGAGTAAGAGTAAAGCTGGGAGGTGAAAATGGGGTCAGGAGCTCAGACCAGGCCAACAGATAAATTCCTTCCTAGAGCAAGTGATGGAGCTTTATGGTTTCAGGTTACCGATCAGTTGGCTTGTCAACTGATGGAGCTCTTCTGAGACATCAGTTTTCTATTAGTGTTCCTCTGGTCTTCACAGAGGCAATGGAATCAGTGCTTTGCCAAGTCCCATTGGTTTGCCAGAATGACTCATATCCATTAAGATGCATGCATTGATGCAGCCTGTTCTTCTCTCTTTTCTTAGTTAGATTTTATTTCTGAAATCAATGAGGTTTCTGGTCTCTGTGATATGTGTATATTGGCACAAATTTAGAAGCCTTTGACATTTGACCATGCTTAATCTGATAATTTTCTAATTCATGCAGGTATTTTTACCAGTTATATTTGCTCACGCTAAATTTAACAGATTGTTACTTTATTGTCTTTAAAAATAAAACTAAAAACACACAACATACTGTAAATGAAACTCATAGTTAGAATGTAATTGTATGTGACTTAATTCTTTAAATTGAGTATATGCCATAAAACTGATTTACTTTCATTTCTGCCAGTGAGTTACAAAAAATGATAAATTACTTGGCAATGTGTAATGCTGAAGGGTGTATTAAGCAATGCATGAGGCCTCTTGATAGAAAATAGCCTTATGCTTAAAACTCTAATATTTATCTTACTCTTTGTGTCATTTGACTTCTACAATCTCTAGAAAAGGTCTATTTACTTTAGCAGGAAGGTGAATTGGTTTCCTGCCAACTTGGTGTAGTCTCTAAATGAATATGTCAAAGGCAATATTGTTTCTCAAAAGTCATTCAGAGACCAGTCTTTTTACATAAGTAGTATCTTTCATTAGTTTTGAATTAAATTTCAGCTATTACCATTTAATAGTAGTTTTATTGTAGAGTGCCTGAAGAGCAAGCAGTGTATAACTCATGAGCCCCAGAGATAGAATCCCAGGCAAGGTTATTGTTTCTATATCTGAATTTGCAGTACTAGCATGAGACAGCCTAGTGCATAATGTTTGCTGGGACTCTTGGCACTGAAGACTGCAAAATATGCTCAAAATTGTGTGTTCCTGTAAGCCAGAAATTGTGGACAATCAGGCAATAATAAAGAAATCGTTGCTATTGCATATGGAGTAGAATACCGTACTTTGTGAAAATCCTTTTCAAGTCGGTTTCATGCATGGAAGCACACTTAAAACAAACATTAAAAATAAGAAAATGAGGTAGGAAATTCAGCAGCCATAAAAATGATGAACTTTTGTAATGCCAGAACAGAATAAACTCAAACAAATCTTTGTCTTTTGAAAGACTGCTTTGATATTGATTTCTCTAGACGGAGAGCCACATTTAACCCCTAATGTAATTGAAATGCAATATTACATAGATATTGAAGATAAAGATTGTACTGCCTTCTCCCTTAAAAAAAAGCCCCGGCATAATGCAAGACAAATTAGCTTATAATAGAAATCTCCATAATAAAAGGGTAAATATCTTTTCAAGGTGATGTTTAATATAAGCACAAAGATTGCTCCTAATTTTGATTGTTTTTGGATACTAGAAAATGATTTTTTGTGTCACTCATCCATGTAGTTTTGAATTTTTCAAGACAATTTTATTGATAAATTGAATATACAAGAGTAAACATGGATGTGTATGTCTTATACGTATAGCAGACTACTTATTTGCTAACCCTACAAATGTGTAAGAACAAAAATTACAAAATTTGTTGCTACCACTTTAATTGAAATTGTATGTAAATAGATCTAGTATTATGCCAAATCTTAATTATATCCAGCTCTATGAGAGTGCTTCCTAGTTTTCAGTTGTGCTGTTAATCCATGACATAGTCTTAGAGACTGAGACCTGTGTTACTAGTGATGTTGTGAATGAGGGCAACACTTGGTCTATAAATAGAAATTTAGTTAAATCAATGCGGTGATCTGTTAGCCTAAGGTTAATTTAATTAATCATCGCTGAGCTTTTTAGTGCTAATAGGAGTAAGAGATGATAAAAATGCATTTCCTGTCTAAAGTAGGCAGATTTGACTTGAGTGTCTGCAGGTTGCTGATCTGCTGAATTAAGGCTTTTTCATTTTTAGTGAAAGGAAGAATTCACCTTGATTCAACAGGACTGTCCTTTTCAGCAAAGCAGTTAAGCATGTGCTGAAGTACCTCCCTGAGTTGGGTATGTTTAAATGCTTTGCTGAAGCAGAGCCTTTGAATATAAACTTTAGATTTGGAAGCCATTTGTTTTTGGTTAGGCTCCTGATAGGCACCGGATAGTGGTGTGGTGCTAGAAAAAAATGCCAATAGCCAGTTCAGAAGCTTTTTGTAAGACTGATGCTACAGTTTGAATTGTTTTTCTTTGTAGTCACCAAACCTGATGACAAGAAGTTGTGCCCTGGCCTTGCTCCCTCTGCCTCCCAGCTGTGCACTGTCCCATGTCCTTCTGAGTGCCTGGTTTCTGCTTGGTCTGTGTGGGGACCTTGTGTTCATGAAAACTGCCAGGATCACCTAGGAAAAAAAGGTACATTTTAATTATTTCCTTCATATGCTAGAGACTGCAGTTGTCTGAATTAAAATAAATGAAAGCATGCTATGATATGAATATAAAAGCAGTTGGGTGAAATTCCACATCTGAAGGCAAAAGGAGTTCCTGTTGAAGTCATTTTGTGTAAGCTGCGTCCTAGGGGGGAACATGGCTTTTGATGTTTTATGCAACTATTCTTGAATAATCTGGGTGAGATTCTTACCCCCCACTATAACCACTTTGTTGCGCTATAGTTGGCATAAAAGGGTTTTAAACCTGATGAATATGCCTCAAGTAATACCTTGAGGAAGATGCCTCTGGCAAAAGAGCTGTGTTCTGTTGTCAGGTTGCTTTCTGGCAACCCCATCAAAATGAAGTGTGGGATGGGGGAAGTGGGGTTGGAGAAGCTTGAAAGCTTGAGGTTCAGGGCCAAGGCTGCAGCATGTACCACTGTGGATGGTGCCACCACTCATGTGGCAGCCTGGTGCAATTCACAGAGCAAATGAGTCTACATTTATGCTGGAGACCGCTTCACCCCCTAGAACTGCCTAGGAGTAGGAAGATGCAAAGATAGTTGAAATGTATCTCAGCTCCACTTGCCACTAGATTTTGGATTCTGTGCTGCAACTCTTAGAGGTGCATCACTGGATATTGAACATGATAATAGGACAGCAATCGCCACATAAGGACTTCCTAGGCCTCTAAATGTTGGAAGCTGTAAGGGAAGGGGAGAAGAGGACAGATCAGTCAGGATAGGCCCTGCGTAAGTATTTTTTCCCCTTCCATCCATACTTGGCCACTGTGAGATATAGGATACTGAGTTAGATGGATGTGTGGTCTGACCCAGTGTGCAGTTATAGTCTTTCTGTTTTTACGGCCACTGATTTTTTAAAGACTGTGTGGCCACCAGTAGGACTGAACCAATGTCTTTTTAAAAAAAAAAGAAAAAAAAAGGAAAACTGTCAGAAATAAAAAAAAAAAAAAAAAAAAGGAAAACTGTCAGAAAAAAAAAAAAAAAAAAAAAGAGGAAAGAAAAAACCCGAACCCCGCCTCCACCTTACCAGTGACATTGTTTTAGTATGTTGGAGAAGAAATTCTTCTTTCTGAATCGCCCACCTGCCTGAATTTGCTACAGTTTTCCTGAAAGGTTCTTCATTCAAGCTTTGATCTACTCTATCCAATTCTGAGTCTGAGACCTGATAAGATCACTACTCACTGTATTATGGCTACAGACTATAGTAAATACACTGGCTGTATACTCTGTGCTTGTCACATTCAAACCGATTCGATGATGAAAGACAATTATTGAATAATTTCCCTGCTATTTTATATAGATGATTTTTGATTGTATGCAAAAGGAAGCAAATTATGTAATCAGTACTTATTAACAATTTAGATGTGAATCTCTCGGTTTATTAGGATGACATTTCAAAGAATCTCAAGCAGAATGATTATTCCTCAGTAAAATTAACTTCTGTACCACAAAATCAGTGTTTTCAATTTCTGATTTCCAGAAATAGGTTAGCTGCAATTTAGATTTTGAATTTATTAATTTTTTCTTTATTATCTTTTTTTGCTTAAACAATATTATCACCATGAAATGTGTTTTCTATTTTCTATGTCTCTGTATTTGGATAAGAATCAGTGCTCCTGGTATTCTTTACCCAGCAGGCAGAAATATGAGCACAAAGAGCTAAATTCTGTCATTTTTAAAGACTACTGAACTGCCTGTGTGAAGCCTGTGGGGTTTGCCAAATCTGGCTCTCAGATATTATTATTGTTTCACAGTTTTTGTGCAGGATACTGTTTTGAAGTGCTGCTCAATTCCACACGTTTTCTTTTGCTAGTGAAACATGTTACTTAAAATTGTTATAAACCTGCTTAGTTAATCCAGTTTCTGTTTTTTCTAGGCTTTAGAACGAGAAAAAGGCATGTTGTTGCAGAGCCCGTTGGTACTTCTGGGGGCTGTCCACATGTAATAGAATCTATTCCTTGTGAAGACCCAATGTGTTATCAGTGGGCCATTTCAGAGGGCATGTGTGTACCTGATCATGGAAGATGTGGGCATGGGAATCGCATAGTGAAGGCTGTATGTAAGAACAGTGAAGGTAGGTGGCGGTAAATTTATCATCTAAAATACTTGTTTTGTGCCTTCTTTTCAAATTTATTTCCACTAGAGGAGAGTTGCTGAGACTGGTGTCTCTTTATTGAAATGTGTATGAAACCCAAATATTGGAATTAAGTCTATATTTAGATTAGATTTTCTAATGTAGTGTTTAGTCTCTGATTATAACCAATGTTAACCCATCTTCAGTATTATCATTCTTAGTCTGCATGAGTCATGATTTAGGGCAGTAGGGACTAACATTTTTGGCATGCATGACACACAGAGGCTATACATGTCTACATGTTCTGTGGATTGGCCACCCTGGGTTAGACTATAATTATAATTTTGCCATTTTTTAAAAAGTGCCTGGCACTGCAGTACATGCATTTGTATAAATGGCAAAATGCATGTCAGCGCTGAGAAAATGCCGGCGACATGCTTTTGAACTAAAACACATCTAAGGTGTTTTTGTTCAAAAGTGCACTGCCACCATTTTCTCAGCGCTGATGCGCATTTCGCTGTTTATACAAATGCATGTGATGCAGCACCGGGCACGTCAGATCACATGTGGAGACACCGGATCTCTTCAGATGTCCAACCAAACTTGGTTTACACTTTAAAGGGAAAAGCCTTTAGTCAGAAAAAAAATACCTTCAGAGACTGATATCTGTCACCTTTGAGCAGAATGCAAGAGAGACTGTATCTCTCTGGAATAATTGATAGCTAAGGATATTGGATTAACGGTCTACATGTCTGACAGGATGTAAAAATTTCCCACATATAATTGGATCGGGAATGACACCTGACCTGACAAACATGCGTATCTGGGGCAGTTATCTATGTAATACGCACATGCTTCCTGAGAACTGAGTAGAAGAATGTAGATGAATGGATAAGGTGAAAGTATTTAAGGCATGCCTTGAGAGAGAAGTGGTTGTCTAAGGATTCATGGGGTTTGAGTACTTAGTCCCCCAGGTGGCTGAAGCTGGGTAGTACAAGCTGATGGGGCTCAGAAGCAGAAGCTGCATTTTAAGGGAAAGTGAAGGGTAAGCTCATACCATGGTCTTACATTTTTTGTTGTCATATCTCTGTCTGTTCTAATATATGAGTACTGCCTTTCTGATTTCTCTTTTTTATGTACTAATTCTTTTTGCCATTTTTTACACCTGACTGATTGTCTCTGGCAAGGGTGATTTTGGAGCAATTTGCAATACAGGCTGATCACTCCTATGCCAGGGGAGAACCCATATTAATTTTACACAAACCACATCCAAGTGTGATTTGTTAATCTGTCAGGATCTCCTGTGCTAGAACTGGTAAATCCTAGATGAGATAGATGGAGCTAAGGGTCATTGGTACAGCCTGATTTAAATCGTGGGCCCATGCAGCACAGCAGTTCCTTTGTAGTTCCCTCTGCGTACCCCCCTGCCACTGATTGATAAAGGAGCCCCATCAGTTTTAAATATGCCTTGGTTTTTGCCTCCTGCTGTTTTATGCATATTTAAAACTGCAGTTTTCACCTCCTGACCATCAGGAGCAAGCAGCAAGTGGCAGGGGAGGATGGGGCCCCTCTGCTGATCAGTGGTGGAAGGGGGAAAGAAGCACATGGGGGAACGTCAAGGTTAAATTTGCCACCACACTACAGGCTTGTCTTGCAATTTAAACCAGGCCCTAGTCATTGTATTAGGAAGCTGGCCCAGTGGCAAATCTCAGCTTATTTACAGTGGTCAAGCGGCAGACAGCAGAGAGAGGATTAGGTTTGGAAGACACCCCTGAAAATGAGCACCCCAGTTGTTACAATCTGATTAAAATAAAAAGATTTTTTGCTGTTATAACTATCATTGTACTCCACCCAGGGCTCATATCTTGTTAATAACTTTATATTTATGGCCTGATTCTGCCAGAATGTTTCCGTTACTTTTTTTTTTTTAGTATCTGTGAAGTACTAAATAACTTTAATAGGACTTTTTCCATAAATTATGCAAGGGTAGGAGACTCAGAGTGTCTGCATTTCCACTAAACTAATGCTAAGTTCTTTTACAAGACATTATGACTACTTTTCTCCTTATAACAACTGCATACTGAGGAAAGCCTAGTGGTGCCACCAAAATTAATTAGACTATAAGAATCTGATGTTATATAAATGAAAAGACTGTGCTGAGTAATACTGTACTTGGTTGGCAGTGGTTTGAGACCTACAGTGTATTGAGTTTACAGATTGTTAATAATGAGTAAGTATGTTTTTATATGAACTTTACAAACAGGAAATAGGATTTTATTTCTCATACATGGTTTGAAACATAGCTCAAAATTTCATCATTGTTGATAAGCTCAGCGTTGTCAGATCTCTAGATTCTATTACGTAAAATCTAGCCCATAATCACAGTGACACACTGAGTTGGCTATCATCTCAAAAGCAGCAAAAGAGTAGGAGTTACCAGTTTAATGTTATAGCTGACATGGAGAGATTTCCTCTATTGTATGGTGCATAAAATCATTCCAGGAAACAGTTCTAAGTAATAACATGTTGGGATACCTGGCAAGTGCTTAAAAATAGTTTGTGAGTTAGGGTGTATTAGCATCTGATAGACAATTAAATTTCAGTGATTGTTCTTCTGGGCTAGGGACAGACATTCAAAAAGCCTGAGCCTGAAGTGATTAAATCTTTGCAGGTTAGTCTAACTTGAAGAGATTGAACCTATTTGCAAGTAGGGTGGCCATCATAGAGGACATTCTGGTTTTCTGCTACTCTGTCCTCTATTGATATGAAACCCGATGCCTTGATGTCCTCTATTTTTCTCTAGAAGAGAAAAGTAGAGGACATAAAGGCATCAGGTTTTGTATCAGTAGAGGACAGAGGACAACCACAATGTCCTCTATGATGGCCACCCTATTTGCAAGTGGATAGACACTCGCTTTTGATTTAGGAAATGCAGGCACATGCCTTCTGTGGCTCAAGCTAGAAGCTGGGGAGCACTAGAGCGAGATCTCCCTTCTCTTTTTCAGTGCTGAGCTGAGGGGTGGGGGGCATGGCCAGGCCATGCCAGGACACTATGATTAGGAAGGGGTTTAGACCCCCACCCTGTTGCACAATCCTCAACCAGGGTCTGCCTGGAGGGGGAGCAGCCCTCACCAAGCTTTTTCCCCTGCTGGCTGCTCAAGGAACAGGAGTGTTGCCAGACCCTGGCCCTCAGCTAGCACTCTGAGGCAAAAGTGGGGGGGGGCAGGACTGCTTGTGTGGACTGCATGCATCTGTTGATGATACTGAGCTTTTCAGTCTCCCTCTCCCTGCTTCTTCATACTGTCTGCTTCAAACTGACAGGCACTGCATTCATTGCAGACCAGGTCACTTCTCACACCTCTCCCTGCCCCCTGTTGAACACTGACAGATTACAGGCTTGAAGCAAGCCAGCAGAGAGCTCATCAGAACACAAAGCTTATCAGCCCATCAAGAAACAAAGCCTCTCTCATTAGTTCAGGCTCTTACGAAACAGCTTTTTGCAAAGCATTTTTAAGGAACGGCAGTGGGACATTACCAGGTGACCTGTTGATTAGCTCCAAAAAGCCGTAAGCAGACACTGTTCTGTCTGCCTTTGTTCCAGTGAAATTGGAGACACCCCCACACACAGATACCTCTCTGCTTTAGCTACCATGGGAGTGGTGTGACCATGACTAGATGCTGGCTGTGGTCTATGCTGCTGGGGTCCATGCTTTGAGAGAGGTGGGGGATCCCTGCTTGAACAGTGAGAGGTTGAGGGGTGGGGGGCAGGGGGCATCCAGGCAGATGCTACTGTCTTCTGGCTGTAGTTTCCATCTCTTTCTCATCCACACAGAGCTCTGGCTAAGGAGGAGAGGGGCAGGGCCAGCCTTGCTCTCTGGAGCAGATAGCCCAACCCAGGGCTGAAAAGCATGCTGGGGTGCTGGGCGTCTCTGATTTAACTTAAACCAGGAAAGGGTCTGGGACAGAATTTCCATGAACTGATTTGATCTAAATCAGTTAAGTCTGATACTACATTCAACCAGGTTTATCTTAAACCACTTTCAGCCATTTTGAAACTGGTTTATGTGCACTGAACTTCTGTTCTGTTAAAGGTTCAAACCAGTTTCTGATCACTTAAACCGGTTTATATGTAACTTCTGCCCTAGCCCTGAAGAGTGAGTGTCTTTTAAAAGATGTAGGAAGGTAGATGTGGTTTGAAACAGAAGTCAAAATCTTCTGCTGCTGTAAATTGACAGCTCTGGTGGAGTCACGGCATATCTCAGAATTCTTTTATATGGTGTTCTTGTTGATATGACCATAATTTGGGCATAATTCTGCAATTACATAGGTACAGGTAGATCCTAGTACTGGTAGGGAGCCCTTATTGTTTAGATAAAGCAACAATAGCATAGAGCTCCATCTCCATGCATCTTTTGAGCAGGATCGGAGTCGTAGCCATGTGTCCACTTAACTCAGAGGAACATACAATATCTTTAAGCCTGATTAATGGCTGATCATTTCCATACGTTCTTCTGTAGTGCTTACTGAGATGTGATGATGTTGCGGCATGTCTGCCAACCTGTTATTCAACAGGATATTGGAAATCTCATAATAGTCCTTTCACATTCAGTCACTCAGCTCATCTTCTAGTTCATGATGAGTAATGTTGGAGGTGGGTTTTTTTTTCTTATTCTTTTTTTTTTGTTTGTTTCTGACAGTTTTTTCTTTTAGATGGGCAGAGTGCTTTTCCAGTTATAGTTTGCTTCACAATGAAAAAAAATCTGAATGTCTAGTGGGAAAGTGATTGAAGTTTTTCTTCCAGCATTGGAAGTGTAGCATAAAAGTCCCTATGAATTTCAGCTGGGGATTTCTTTATTGTTATTGTAAGGGAACATTTGTTTCATTTGTCCAATCCTAATTTGGGACATTTCACAAAGCATATCCTGTTCACTTGACAGGTTGGCAACATTTGTGAATGCTATTTTAAAATGCCTCTAAAAAATATAGAAATTTTTTTCTAT